GAATGAAGGAAAGCGTCAGAAAATGGATGGCAATTTTCAAAAATAAACTCAACTTACTTAGGAATGAAAACTGTTATGTTAGCAGTACAAAAAAATGCCGAAGAATCCATCTTGTTGGAACATGTTTTAAACTTTTCTCAATAGTATCTTTTGATCCCTTACCGCAAGATGTTATAGTACAATTCATTAAAAGCATTGATCCACAAAAGTCTGCAGAAGATGTCTGTCTTCAATTAAAGCATTGTTCTTTATTCCTTCAAACGGAAAACAACGACATCCGCCTGCACAGCGTTGTACACGAAGCCATCGTAAATTATTCATCGCAGACCTTTGGCTGTAAACAAAACGAAAATAATTCTAAAGAGTCTGCAGCTGATCTTGCCTGTCAAGTTGCTTGGGCACTAAATCATTTTGAAGACAGAGAAGATGAAATCAAAATAATTCCACATCTAATTAAATTCATAACAAATTCATCATTTCAACATTTCCTAAATAAGTTGATCGATGTCAAATCATCAAAACAAAAACTTGATGAAAGAATATGGAAATTTGCCAAATATTTTGTAGATGTTTTGAAAAGATTTTGCAACTATAAACTTGCAACTAAAGTACTTTATCAGATAAAAGAAATTCAAACTAAAGTGTTAGGTGTTGATCACATTGATGTTTCATATTCGAACAACGTGCTGGGTGAGTTGCTTTGGAAGAATGGAGAATATGAAAAAGCTAAAGATTTTCTCGAGCGAGCAATGGGAATTCAAGCAAAAACATTTGGACCTGACCATGCTGATATTGCGACAATGTCCAACAATCTGGGTTTGGTTTACTATAGTATGGGAGAGTACGAAAAAGCAAAAGATTTTTATGAACGAGCGATGGAAATTGAAACAAAAGCATTTGGACCTGACCATGTTAATATTGCGACAACGTACAACAATCTGGGTTTGGTTTACTATAAAATGGGAGAGTACGAAAAGCAAAAGATTTTATGAACGAGCGATAGAAATTGAAACGAAAACATTTGGACCTGACCATGTTAATATTGCGACAAGGTACAACAATCTGGGTTCGGTTTACAATAAAATGGGAGAGTACGAAAAGCAAAAGATTTTTATGAACGAGCGATAGAAATTGAAACGAAAACATTTGGACCTGACCATGTTAATATTGCGATAACGTACAACAATCTGGGTTTTGTTTACAATAAAATGGGAGAGTACGAAAAGCAAAAGATTTTTATGAACGAGCGATAGAAATTGAAACGAAAACATTTGGACCTGACCATGTTAATATTGCTGCAACGTACAACAATCTGGGTACGGTTTACAAACATATGGGAGAGTACGAAAAAGCAAAAGATTTTATGAACGAGCGATAGAAATTGAAACGAAAACATTTGGACCTGACCATGTTAATATTGCGATAACGTACAACAATCTGGGTTCGGTTTACAGTGAAATGGGAGAGTACGAAAAAGCAAAAGATTTTTATGAACGAGCGATGAAAATTCAAACAAAAACATTTGGACCTGACCATGTTAATATTGCGAAAACGTACAACAATCTGGGTTTGGTTTATAGAAATATGGAGAGTACGAAAAAGCAAAAGATTTTGTGAACGAGCGATGAAAATTCAAACGAAAACATTTGGACCTGACCATGTTAATATTGCGACAACGTACAACAATCTGGGTTTTGTTTACAGTAAAATGGGAGAGTACGAAAAAGCAAAAGATTTTTATGAACGAGCGATGAAAATTCAAACGAAAACATTTGGACCTGACCATGTTAATATTGCGAAAACGTACAACAATCTGGGTTTGGTTTATAGAAATATGGGAGAGTACGAAAAAGCAAAAGATTTTTATGAACGAGCGATGGAAATTCAAACGAAAACATTTGGACCTGACCATGTTAATATTGCGAAAACGTACAACAATCTGGGTTTGGTTTACAGTAGTATGGGAGAGTACCAAAAGGCAAAAGATTTTTGTGAACGAGCGATGAAGATTCAAACGAAAACATTTGGACCTGACCATGTTAATATAGCGAAAACGTACAGCGACCTGGGTTTGGTTTATAGAAATATGGGAGAGTACGAAAAAGCAAAAGATTTTTATGAACGAGCGGTAGAAATTGAAACAAAAACATTTGGACCTGACCATGTTAATATTGCGACAACCTGCAACAATCTGGGTTTGGTTTACAGTAAAATGGGAGAGTACGAAAAAGCAAAAGAGTTTTTAAAACGAGCGAAAGAAATTAAAACGAAAGCGTTTGGACCTGAACATGTACTGCAATAAAATACAACAATCTTCATTTGGTTAATAATAAACAAACTATAGATATTGAAACTGAAGGATTTGGACTTCTACTTATCTTTTATTTTCTAGTAGCTAAAATACTCCTGTCTTTGAGAAAACGTACAAGGAGATAGAAGAAGAGGAAAGGAATTTGTAGCTCATTTTCAATGAAGAAGAAAATCAATTTCTCTTTTCATTTTAGGTATGTCTTCTTATACTAAAGCTGATTAGAAACAGTTGTATTGTAGATTTCTTTTAACAAAGGTTCAAATAACAACAGTTGTATATTTATAAAATGTATAAATATATTATTGACAATATTCAAACATTTGTATTTTCAAGTTTTCAACTTTCATTTATTTACTGGAACAGTTCTTATTAAGAAACTTGTATGGAACTCTCAAAGTATATATATGAGTTTAGTTTGCAAGATCTAGCTATTCAGAAGTTGTGAAGTTCCTCAAAATGAATGTTGTTGGGTCATTTTTTGTATAATGAGAGTAAATGCTGATTTTACAGCAACTATGATCATGTAACATCCCTTTTTGAAATGCTGAAAAGCCCACAAGATCCCAGTAGCAGCTTGTCATGTCAATTACAGTGAACAACTCAGTGCCATTGAGTTTATTTGAGATTTCTTCGGCTGATGGTGGGTTTTAGTACTCTCTTTTGATGGCTTGATTTAGATGTTTGGGATCTAGGCACAGTCGTAGCATTCCATTTCTTTTTTCTATTATGACCAGGCTGTTTACCCAGTCTGTAGCTCGGTCAACTTTGCTGATAATTCCTGTGTCCGTGAGATTTTCTAGTGTTGATTTCAAGCGTGGCATTAAACTCAGTGGGACTTTTCTTGGTGGATGAATTGTAGGTTTAGCATCACTTTTAATTTCGATGTGGTATTCACCATTGGCGAGGCCAATACCTTTGAAAACATCTTGATACTCTACGAAAATGTTTTGTTCGGTTTGGTGAATTTCACAGACATCATTTATGCTAATGAGGTCAAGGTCACGGCATGTTTGTAGACCAATCAGTGGCTTCGAGTTGTCGATTTCAACGACGTAGAATTAGCTATGAATTTTCTTGTTGTTGTGTTCGATGTTCATGTAGCATTTACCACGAATTGGTACTTGGGTTCCTCCGTAGGCCTTTATTTTGGTGTTTGTCTGGTGAAGAGTTGGTTTGTCGTTTAGTGAAGTGAACACGCTGAGTGGCATTATATTACACTGAGCGCCAGTATCGATTTTGAAGCTGATGACTTTGTTGTTTACTTTAATGCTAGGGAGTATTTCGTTTCCATTCGGCTTGTTTATTTCACCGAGAAAAATTTAGTCGTAGTTTTCAACACCGTATTGAGTTTCTTGAGGGGTTTCTTGAGTGATTTCGTGGAGTTTATGTCTGGAAGAGTTAGCGAAGCACATTTTGGCGTAGTGGTTTTTGCCTTGACACTTTAAGCACTTTTGGCCGTAAGCTGGACATTGGTTAATCAGGTGATGTGTACCACAACGTCTACAAGGTTTTCCTTTTTGTTGAGGGCTTCGCTTTTGGTAGCTAGCTCTCGTAGTTTGGATGGCAGCTGCTTCGAGTGGTTGTGTTGCTAGGTTTTTGACTTGTGCGTGGCTTGTCTCAGCTGCTCGGACGGTGTTGATGGCTTTGTCATGGGTTAGAGTGTTATCTCGTAGGAGTCGTTCTCTTACGGAATTATTGTCGATTCCACATACGATTCGATCCCTTATCAGACTGTTTTGCAGCTCTCCGAACTCGCAGGTTTTTGCTTTATTTCGTAGGTCCACGAGGAAGACGTCGAGCGGTCGGCCATTTTGTGAGCATGTGTTGAACTTGTACCTTTCGTATGTGACATTTTTCTTAGGGGAGCAGTGTTCTTCGAATTTCTCGATAAGTGGGTCGATTTTACCTTCTTCTTCTTCGGTGAATGTGAATGTATCGTAAATCTCGAGGGCGTCTTCGCCAATCATGTGGAAAAAGATTGCACACTGCGTGTCTTGATCTTTTGAAGTGGCACCGCTTGCTTTCGAGTAAAGGTCCCATCTTTGTCGCCATTTCCGCCATCTTTCTGCGACGTTTTCATCTAAGATGAGAGGCTCTAGAGGTTTTAAGTGGCTCATGATAAATTATTTTTTGACACCATGTAGTAAAGTGTTGCAAAAAGCACGAGAGCTGTCGCGTAAACTTGTTTATTTGAACTGACAACTAACTCCTACAAGCTTCGGGGTGTCCCATTAGGGGCAACTATCATTACACTACTTCTTATTTTTTTTCCAAAACGTTATTCGAACATTAGACAAATTGTGTACTAACTATAAAAAGATTATATTTGGAATATATTTCTAGGGCAACATCCTCTTTAAAGTATGTATCCATATTCAGGAGTGAATGACATGACCAGACATTTTTGGCTAATGTATTTACAACTGATAAGAACAGTAAATGAGTCATTTCTACTGGTGTCTTTACTACTGATATGGACAGTAATGAGTCATTTTCATTGCTATGACATTCATGACTTGCTTTTGCTTTAGTTTGTACTTTACATTGCTTTGAAACTGATTCTCCCAGCTCCATAAATGATTTTACCACAAAATTACAATACAAAATTTTGTGGTTATCTCTAACTCCAAGAAAATAAAATATAAATTAAAAATCGGATTTACTATATTTAAATGTAAGTGAGAAAAGAACATTGTCACAACAATTAAGGTGTAAATCCCCAACCGTAAATAGAAAGAAATGTTGAATCAAGTAACCAAACTATTGACCTTCTCTCCACACACAATTGTTTTAAATGCAAATTCTATTTTACCATTTATCACAGTGAACAGAAATTTGTATATTTACACAGCAAAGCCAGTGCTTGGGTTTTTGAGGAACTTACTAAGCACTATAAATTTTACATGTAAATAATGTACATATTAAGATTTTTCTTATTAAACAACAAAAAGAACCAAACAAACACTCCATTTAAACCTTTGCCTACAGAAATTGAAAATACAACTGTTGCTGGTCAGCTGAAGGAGAAAGAAAACATACCCAAAAGCCAGGGCTAACAAAGTATCTTGCTCCTTGAAATGGAGGCACAAATCCATTCCTTTCTGTAAAGACTAAACACAATAAAAATCCTTTGCTGACAAGCGTTTTGATAGATCTGGCATTGGTGACCACCTGACAATGTAATTTATCTTTATGTATGTTTTAGATAGTGATGTAGCCAAGAAAAAAGCAGCTTTTACTCTAATTATGTGTGTCTGGCCCATATTTACTGTTGTCATCTCATATGTAGTGTAGTGAGTAACGAAAAAGTAATTGAACAACAAAATATTTATTTTCATAGCACTGGTAGACTTGCTATACGCTACGAGTTGTCATGGTGTTATTAAAAGGCTGAATTCTGATATTTTCCTTTGATTCTTATTTTTTTATTTTCCGTAAATTATACACGTATTTAATAAAATATACATTTAAGTTGATTTATCCAAAGCGGAGCCCCCACGGTGTGAGGATCTAAGTTCTTAATACAGAGTGTTTCAAAAAAAGTTAATTCAACTTTTACTTTCTGATGTGTGTAAATTACTGAACAAATAACTGTAGTTTTAAATATTTAAAAAAAGAGTTCTAGGCTCAACCTATGGAATGCTATGTTGTTTCTTGCGATTTGGAAGGGAAATGAGTCAAATGCAAACGCGTTGAAAATTTTTGGTCAAAGTCACATTCTTTCACCTTCGAGCATTTTTTCATTAACATGAAAGGTGCTTCACTTCTATTTTGCTGGTTTGTTGACAGACTATCACATATTTCATGGTGATGTCTCATTTTTCAACCTTGAAAATATTTGAAATTATTTAACATTTATAATTACCATGATTCAGCAAAAATTGATCCTCAAGGAGCCTTAATTAAAAGTAGTTAAATACATAATAAATTAATAACTACATACGTGTAAAATAGAAGCTACAGTGCATTAAAAATTCCAGTCAAGAAACTTATTTTAATTAAATTTATACCTCCTAGCGTGGAGATCAATCATTGAAGCTGAATCATGCAAATTTCAAACTAACGGCTGATTTCAAAGACGACCAGCTCTTTTGAGACATATTGTAACATATTTTGATTACAAAACTTTGCAAAGATCATCAAGTGTACGCTTACTACGCGGAAATCGATCGAGGTGTTTAACTACACAGTGAAGCATTTGGAAGAAATAAAAGCATAGAGCAATGTTTTACCCGCAGTTAATCAAGTTGTACTAGATTTTAAGCCCTTAATTAGCATTAAATTTTTTCTAAATCTCAAATATAATACGCTTTATTAATTATTTTAAACATTGATTTGTTTTGTCTTTCGTCATTGACTTCAATTTTCGTCGATCAAAACAATGGTTGACTTGAAGTGTGATTTTATTGTTTTTTTTTGTGTCATCTCTATCCTAATCTTAAAATATTTCTGAACTATTGTAAAGATAACAACAAAACCTGTAGTAAAAATGTACTAAACCTTGATACATCATTAAGATTATTTGCTTCTATTCCCTCTCCAGTGCAGGTATTTGATAGAGCAACTACACAAAAAAAGAAGAAATTCTCATAAAATCAGTCAATAATGATGAAAAAGTTTCAGATTCAAACTAAAACTTGTCCAGTCGCTAGCAGTGCGAATATGAACGCTAAACATCTCTTGCTCTGGGCTCTAAATAAAGTTTATAGTTGTACATATACGTCGATGGAACAAATACTTCATGTTAGCGACAAATGTAAGCACTATTAAATCGCATGAGTGCGCCTGAGCGGCAGCACCAAAATATGCTCCTCAGAAACTTTATATTTTACCTATTTTACTTTCAATTGTTGGGTAGTATTTACAACATCTATTTTCTAAAATCACTAAATTTGGCTTTTATGGCTATATGTTACTCAAGAACGTTTCTGAAAGCTGTTTTAACTTCATCTTCGAACAGTCGTGTCAGCTGTGAATTATGGCGCTACTTTATTCAATTGGGGATAAATAAAGGAAGACCAACTCATCGTGGTTGCCGTTCAGGAAGGCAAATTGCAAACAATACTTTGGGAAGTAGTGCTCCATCGCTTAATCTACTTTCAACATCTCAATATACAGATATTTATTCGGTTTCTCAAGAAATCGAAGAAATACAAGAAACAAGAAATCATTTGCATAATGCTTCAATCGACTTATTAAATATTCAAAATAACACCTTTTGTGATGCCAACATAAACAACTCTACGAATGGAATTCATGTACAACCTACAGAAGATACTTATAATGTGCCAAAGCTATTACTATCTAATGTTAGATCTCTTGTACCTAAAATAGATGAGATCAGAGAATTCACTTTACGCAACAACATTCATCTCGTTTTTATCACAGAGTCATGGCTACGATCGTCAATTTCTGATGTTGTCATTTCTATCCCAGATTTTGCTGTCATTCGAAAAGACAGGCAATCAGACAGCCATGGAGGTGTATGTGCTTATGTGAAGGAAGGTATATGCAAGTACAAAGAACTGAAAGATTTGCAGTGCTGCGAAAGCCATGAAATTTTATGGCTCCATTTAAGACCTAATAGATTGCCCCGTGGTTTTTCATGTATTATTGCTGCTGTTGTTTACCACCCTCCCGGTGCCGACGAAGGGTCAATACGAGATCACTTATTCACTTCATTACTACAAGCAGAAACAAAGTACCCAAATTGTGGCTTTCTCATTACGGGAGATTTTAACAGATTAGACATTAAACAAGCAGCCATTTTAAATTGAAGCAGATTGTAAAAGTACCAACTAGGAAGAATGTAACCTTGGATTTGGTATTTACCAACATGCATGAATTTTACAACAAACCCGAAGCACACCCTCCTTTTGGCTTATCTGACCACAATTCTATACTAGTACCACCTAAAACTAGAGATCGAAGTACAGATAATGAGAAGAAGATCATTATGAGACGTGACTTAAGGAACAGCTCAAAAATAGCTATGAGGAAGTTCCTAGGTTCCTTTGACTGGCATGTCCTACTAAGCCCCTCCTCAAACTCCTGCGAGGATATGTGGAATATATTCTGCAAGATAATACACACAGGCTTGGACATTCTAATGCCCCTCAAAAAGACAAAAATCTGCAGTGCTGATGCACCATGGATGACTCAAAAACTGAAGTCATTGATTCTGAAAAGACAAAAGGCCTTTAACACCCAGGGTAGCGAATCAGCGTCCTTTAAATACTACCGGAATCTCGTCAACAGGGTTAGGAAAAGATGTAGATCTGATTATTATGAATCAAAGATTCAACACCTTAAGGGAGAACAACCTAAACAATGGTGGGCTGAGGTTAAACGCCTAAGTGGAATGAAAGCCCAAACCAGTGATCTAGTAAACCAAATTGACATCGATGGCTTCTCCGAACTGTCACCCAAAGTACAAGCAGACCTAATAAATGCTGCATTCTTGGATCCTCTCGACGAGTATAAACTTACCAGTCCCTTGGAATACCATCATCTCGAAGGGTCGCCTGAAATACTTACAGTGAGTGTAGAACGTGTCCAGAAGGCATTAAACGCATTAAATGTACACAAAGCGTGTGGCCCAGATGGGATTCCAAACTGGTTATTGAAAGACTTTTCTGATATAGTTGGTCAACCAATAACCTTAATAATCAATGCATCTTACAAAGAACAACAACTCCCAAAATGTGGAAAAGTGCTAATGTTATACCGCTCCCAAAAGCCAAACCAGTTCAAGACCTTACCAAACAATTAAGACCAATATCTCTCACACCATGTCTCTCAAAGTTAGCTGAAGACTTTATAGTATCAGACTATATAAAACCGGCAGTAACCAAGGTGATCGATCCCAACCAGTATGGGATAGTATCAAGCTCGTCAACAACAATGGCACTGATCAGTATGTTACATAATTGGACATTAGGTACAGATGGAAATGGGTCTACTGTAAGGTCGATTTTATTTGATTATCGAAAAGCATTTGATTATATAGACCATTCCATACTCGTCGACAAACTGTGTAATCTGGACATTCCAATTAGCGTAATCAATTGGATCATCAACTTTCTGAGCGACAGATTGCAACGCGTTAAATTAGCAAATGATTGTTATTCAGACTGGGGCTCTGTTCCATCTGGGGTTCCTCAAGGCACCAAACTAGGACCCTGGCTTTTTGCATTGATGATAAACGATCTAAAACACGGAGCACCATCTTTTTGGAAATTTGTCGACGACACTACTGCTTCCGAAATTGTACCTAAAGGCAGTGTGAGTCATGCACAAAATATAGCTGACGATGTAAATGATTGGTCCAAAAAGAACAGAGTACAATTACATCCTGACAAGTGCAAAGAACTGAGAATATCCTTCTCAACACAAACACCAAATTTTGACCCACTTGTTATTAACAGCAACGAGGTTGAGGTTGTTAAGTCAGCAAAATTTCTTGGAATTACGATCAGCAATGATTTGACGTGGAACATTCATATTGACAATATTATCAAAAAAGTAAATAAACGAATCTATTTTCTAATTCAATTAAAGAGAGCTAAGGTATCCCTAAAGATCTCTCTCTATATAACTTGTATAAGATCGGTTATGGATTATGGAGTAGTTAGTTTTTACAATTCCTTACCAAACTACTTAAAAAACGAATTCCAACGTGTAGAAAAAAGAGTGATATCAATAATATGTCCTTATAATAGTTATAAAATTGGGCTGAAAAAGCTAGATATGTCACCAATAGAATTACACCATGAAGATTTATGTAAACGTTATTTCCAGACAATTGAAACAAATGAACGCCATAAATTAAGAAATTTACTGCCAAACAAAAATAACTGTAAATATAGCCTGAGAAGTAAACATAAATATATAGTTCCGCTTGCTCGCACCAACAGAGCGAAGAACTCGTTCATCCTGTCCTTGTGTACATAAAGTTACACAAAGTGGCCAGGTATGGAGTTTTCTTTGTCTCTGTTGGTGTTAGCGAGTACCATTTTTAGATACTTATTTTTAGATTTTTAGATACTTATTTTTAGATACTTATTTGCTATTATAATTTTACTAATGTAGATATTTGCAATTCAGCCGCAAGGCTGCAATTAATATTTTAATAAACTACCTACCCACCTACCCACGTACGGAGGTTAAGGATGCGATTCCAAATGAGAAATTTTTGGACATTGAAGAAACACATACTGTAAAATAACGTTAGTAAAAATATATAAATGAATGACTGTCCACGCGATGTCAGTTACAGGGAAGGCTTTGGGAAGGGGGGATGGTCCCTCCAAATAATTTGAACAAAGAATATCGTTAACCTGAGAATTCAACAATTCGCTGGCCATAGCTTGTCAAAATGTCACATTTTGTACATAACAACAATGAATAATTAATAATAAATATAGCACGTCAGATCAAAGATCACAGCGAAAAAAGTTATTTTTCAATAATTAAGAAAGCCCCAGTCCTTCAATAATCAAACCATTGACAGTGAACATAATATTTTTGCACAACAAAATCGTTATTGGTGTACACTGAAGCAGTGAAAAAATCCATAAGAAATGACAGTTATGAAGAAATATGTCAACATTTTATCACCTAACCTGACCAGGTAAAGATGAAAACCCAGATTTCTTCATTTGAATTTCAATAACATTTGATGGATGTTTCACACCTTAGAAGTCCTGTTGATGACGTAACCTAGAAAACAGGAATTAAAACAGGAATCAAACAAGAATGCTCAAGATGAAATTTTGAAAAGGCCGTTAATTATGTAATATGTAACGGGCTTATTTTAAAGTTCTAAGTTGATTGTTGTGCAGTAGTCTTCATGAAAAGAATTTGTTTCCATCTTGGCAAAATATATTTGCAATAAAGAAGTATGATATAAGATGAAACAAAAGCTGTTGTACGTAGTAAGTCAGGGAAAGGATTTGAGTTGAATGAGCAGAAAATGTTGATGATTTAGTAGCTATAACAAACAGAAGTTGACAAAAATAAAAATCAAATCATGAAACAAAGATATTTTTTTCGGCGTAAAAGCAAATGTTTTCCGTATCTAAAATGTTCAATGTATAAATTTTTTACCATGAGTACCAGCACTAATGTCATTATAAAGCCTGAAACACCTACAACTAATGAAAAAATAAAAGTAAATAGTACTTTTGAAGAAGCAAGGACAATTCAATGTTAATTATGTCTTCCACAATTTATAGAAAGCTTTAGATAATAAAATAAGCACAAATAACGAGTATTGAGCCCTGAATATTTACAAACCAGTTTCTATCTTGTCTTTGGTTAAAATTCAACGTCGCATTTAAACTAAGTGCAAAGGACGCGAATTCTTCCCACAAATCACGATTAAAAATTTTAAATTACACAGCGCAAATCTTGTCATGTTTTCATGTTATCTAAGGTTCTCAGTTTCGTAAGTAAAAAGTATAGTTACCAGTCTTAAAGACTTCAGTTGGAGGGTCCTGTAAAAATAATGACGTAATGTTATGTTAATGGTCACGTGAAGAATAAAATTATTGATGACGTCATGTGTTCTTACTGCAGCTTGTTTTCTTATAGGGTTGATGTAAGTATCATTCCCAGAATCCCCCAGATCACTCAAATGAAAGCGTAGATCCTTAGAGTCACGACCATAAGCATCAATAAGACTCTCAAAGTTAAAAAGATGCGTTCCAATGTGAATGGCTGAAATTTATGAAAACAGACTAAGTATTTTTACATACTTGAAAATGTTTAGAATTTCAATTATCTCATTTTTAAATCAACTTTAATACATTAACTTTAAACATGAAACAAAACATTACGTATCCAATAGCCATACGGGAAGGAGGTGGGGGAGGGGAGAGGGGAGGGGAAGAGGGGAGGGGGAGAGGACGAGATTATTCCTTTTGAGATACCACACCCAATAACAACACCCTATTTTTCGAAAATTCTTTTTCAAAACTTTTTCATGATGTCCTGAATTTTCCATTATTTACTAAAATCTTATACAACTTACTGGTGAAGAAACATATCACGTAGGCAATGACTCGATGAAATGTGATATTTTTATCGAGTAAATGTTGTAAATTGCGACCCATTCCACAACACTAAAGTTGAATATCACAATAAAATTGTGTCATAAAAATGTCTTCAATTCTATGGTTAGGTTATCAATGACAACTTTACTTCATATAGATGCTCTGAACTTTGTATAGTTACTGGAGTAATACTTCATATGGATGCTCTGAACTTTGTATAGTTACTGGAGTAACACTTAATATAGATGCTCTGAACTTTGTATAGTTACTGGAGTAATACTTCAAATTCCTATTCAACACAGTAATTAATCCTCAGCACTACACATGTAGAGAAATGATTAAATCTTTTTCATTCAGTAGCTAAATAATTGCAGACTACCAACATGTATGAATTGCGTGCCAATTTTTTTAAATGTATGCCATTGTATTTAATAAACGCAGTGTTTTGGGAGATGTACCCAAAAGCCAAGAAATGAAAAGAAACGTGAATATTCATGATAACTACGATAAATAATGTTATGACAAATGGCTTCACTTGGCCCCAAATGTGGACACTGTTTTTTTTTCCAAACCAAAACGAAATGGGAGGGAAAACCGGCGGATCCGGTAAAAAACCCTCCAATAAAAGAAAAATAAAAAATTTATAAGAATTGCCTCAAATTTTTGTAGTGTTTTATGATGTTTTATATTTTTGTTGTTTTCAATGATCCCGATGATCTACTTTAACATGCAGCGTAGTCAGATCGTGCGTCTTATACAGTCGTATAAAAAATCTAAATTTACGGAACAATAAGAAAGCGGGCTGACTACCGTATTCACACAGAAATATATTTTTAGTTCGTACATAAGAAATGCAAACTTTTGTAAAGCACAAAAAATGAAATAGTGCAGAGTGTTAACAAAAATTGTAATCAATAGACGAAAAACTAAAACTAATAGCAGCCATATATATAAATCATGTATAAAAATCATTCAGTACGTAGGGACCTGACCATTCACCTGCCCATAACAATTAAAAATAAAAAGACCAAAGAGACGTTGTGACTTGCATAAAAATAATTTTTGATGTCTGCTTGACTTTATTCCATTCAAATTTTCTATGTTGCCTCATTAATTAATAGCTGGCTTTCACTCGTGTGTTTTGTCAGAAAATTTAACAATTGTGAACATTTAGTTATACGGAAATTTTTAACAGTCGAATTTGAAAATGAGTTATATTTTAACGGTCGAATTTGAAAATGAGAATAAATTTCCAATTGTGCATCTTATAAAAACCCCGTTTATTTCTTGGTGTTTCTGCCCGACTTCATCGTTCATTCATTGTCCAGTTAGAAGGCCTACAGACATAGCTACTCTATAAAAACACGTTATAAATGTCAGCATATTGAAGGAACAAAAACAGAAATTAATTATATTGAAAAGAACAAAACTTTAATACCTGATTTCTAAGGGTTGTCCTGGTCAGTTCGATCCAGGCGACTTGGTCGGTCTCTTCCTTTTTTTTGACCGCGTAGTTTTTACGTTGTATCGTTGAAATTAATTGTAAAATTTTTATCTTAGTAATTCAATGAACCCTACTTGCATCATTGCAATTTTCTTAATAAACGTTAAATAAAATTACTAAAAAGTAGTGAGTGAAAGCCAGCTATTTTCTCACAGCAAGTGACATCTTTTATTGACACTTTTTTAAGTTGGATGTTTTTCATGGTTAAGTTTCAAATTATAAAGATAGACCATCAGGATCGTTTTTAACTATCTCATGCAGTTACTCATACAAGTTAATTTTAACACTTATATCTACTTAACTTACAAACCACAAGATATAGATCGTGTTTTTCCACTCGCTTGTTTTCCATCTTCGTAGAATGTAGTCCATTTTTATAGTGCAATCACTTCAATGTAAATGTTCATACGTACATATGCCGTTATGCGATGTCCATTCAACATGTCGATACCATTCCATACATGAAGCAAGGAGCATCATCAACCAATAAAGAAGCTACTGATATGAGGAATCGCCATTTTGAAAGACAACAATTCAAAATGCACTGTTATGGTAACTTCAAGCGAAGGAAAAGGGACCGCACATCAATACCCCAGTTGTATCATTACTCAAAGAATGTTTAGTGAAGAGTTGATCTTCTTTGAGTATCAGTTGACCACCTTTAGTTGGGTGCATATAACAAAGGGGCCCGTCATCATTATATGAACAAACGACTGACATCAACAAAGAGTCCAAACTACAAATGAACATTCTTGGCCATGAATCACCATGACACATGAATAATGACAAACTAGTAAGAGTAATTGAAGGGAATGACACAGGTGGTAAAGGGACTTTCACAACTCCATTCTTGTGGAATCTACAATATAAGAAAACATGAAACACATGTATGAGATTTCATGATGAATAACTCTGCCAATGACGTTACTTTGCGTTTTAAATTCTTAATCAGATATATTGAGAATGAGCAAATTGTTTTCCGTTTTCTGTTTGACTATTCAAACGGTAGAACATTCACCTTCATTGCACGAATAGCTTTAGTGAGTTGAGATTGAACGATGTAACAAGTTTCACACGATCAAAGACTTATAATCGTGATGAAAGCATTTTACAGTGAAAGCTTTCAAATTACGAGGCCTACACTAAGACCAGTTCATTATTCCATGTAACTCATACTTCAGTATTCGTCAGTAAAAAGACAGAATTTACCTTTCTTCTAACAACGTTAAAGTGAGTAATTTTCTGTTGAAGTAAAGCACACGAATTTAAACATGTTAACGTTTCTTTAATTGACGTCATAACTAAAACTATTATTGTGATTGATTCCTTAAGGACATATCAAATTTCACAAAGACAGCAAGTAATCCTTCAATGCGTTTTTAAGGCCTGTTTCAAACATTGCATTTTACATGTGCCGAATGTATTTAAGACAAAAGATAATAAGGAATTTTATCTCATTATCTTTTGTTATAAATGCATTGGGCACATGTAAAATACGATGTTTTAAACAGGCCTTAAAAACGCATTGAAGGATTACTTGTTGTCTTTGTCAAAGATGACATGCTCCTAAGGAGGCAATCACAACAATAACTTTAGTTATGACGTCAATTTAAGAAACGTTAACATGTTTAAATTCGTGTGTTTTACTTCAACAGAAAATTCAGAGTCAAATGACTACCGCTAAGGTTGTCAAAACGTCAGTCAACAACAACAAAAACAGTTCTTCTCAGGACTATACCAACCTGGACGATCTACATTTACAAACATGCAACGATACTCCCGGGTTGAAACCATCTACTTTAAAATAATTGTATTGTTTACATGAAACTATTTGGTATGAAAAGCCAATCACTATCGTCTCATTTGCTGCTGGATTTTTTTTCTGCTGGTGATGGTGACTGCTGGTGTCAGAATGCTTCGTTTTTTAAGAAAAAACTATGATAATGAAGAGATGAATGATGGATATTCTACACCATATTGGGATAATCATGGATCAACAAACTTATCCAATATGCCTGATGTGTACGAGAATCTATCATATACATCAGTAGATGAGTAGAGTTTTAATCAATTTTCACTGCGACATTCTCCAACACAAATTGTCCTCTTACCTGATGAGAATAATCATGGACCACAAAATGGATTTCAATCATTTTATACTACACCGTTGCATGAGTCAAAAGCACAACTTTAAATTTGTATTTTCATGAATATTTATGTAGATACAATGATCTTATAAAGTAATACACTACAATAAAATGATTCTGATATAAATCTTCAGTAAAAATATTGCATGGACTAGATTAAACAACGCTGACATTGGCACAATCATAGAATACACTGCTACAAAGACTGGCAACAATAATCAGGCCAGGTTATGATTAAGAAAAGGTTAGGGTCAGTTTAGTACGTGCAAAGGTTTTCTATAAAACTTCCTGTTACTGTTAGAATAGCTAGATTATGTATTCCAACAAAAAAGTTTTATTGAACCATCAATCTACTAGAATCAAGGTATGTTTATACAATCCTTGCCTTTCCTTCTCAAACGTTTTATTTGTTAAGCTTTAAAGGAGAAAATCTTCTGAATCCACTATACTTTCTTTGTTCTACTTCAACACAACTTTCACCTTGTTGGTAACTTTCTTCATTTTCTTGTCTCATTCCATTCACGATTTCGCCATTTTTCTACAGCCTCGAAATCAAAACTTCTTTCTACCGAATTCTCATCACAGCATATAATAAACGCAGATATTCGAAGAACTAAATAGCCAAAAACCCATGCAATAATAACACCAAATGTAATCCTGAAACGCTATTTATAAGATCTTTTCAAGCTCTTGACAAGATTTTACTCCTGCAAGATCATGCAAGATTTTAGCAAGATCTTGTCAAGATCTTACAACATTATTTTAAGCTTTTGCCATGATTTTACTCATGGATGATCTTGCAAGATTTTGAAATTCAGCCAATATAAATGACGCACTTTTGACCCTCTTATAAGAGTAAGTGTTAAGCACGTGCTCACAAAGCTTACGTCATTGTTTTATCATCATTACATGTTTTGATTGTTTTCATCTCACAATCAAACATTTTTAAGATAATCATAAAGCGTTGAAATGGGCGCTTGGTAGATAAATGAAAAATGTGCCACAGGAAAACAAATAGTAAATATCTTCGCAAAATAAAAGTTTTAATGAGAAAAACATGTTACTTTATCATTATGCAAATGTTGTCTTTGTTCTTTTTTGCATGCTTTCCTTGACTTTGAAAATGTTCAAAAAACAATATTTTTACATGGGTCAACAAAGAAATTGTTCACGTGAGATGAAACGTAACATGTAAAATTTACCTTCCATCTTTACTAAATGATGTTTGTCGAACGGCTGCTGTACATTTAGGATGAGAGAGAACTTTCTGACTGTGTGGGAATTGAACAAATAAAATTGCATTAAGATGATGTATGTTGTTACCATTGAACATGGAACGCTACCTGAAGCAAATATTTAAAGCCAAATCTTACATCCAGACAGGCGAGATTACACGCAGACACGCGTGTTTAGTGTTTCGAGATTCTCTCGCGGAGTGAAAATTGATTGACTACACATGTCCCCCGGTGTCCTCGTCATCACCAGGACCATCCACTTGAGGCACACGTAAAGGTGGTTTCCCGTCCATTTCCTCTTTATCCTCAGAACTGCAAGTGAAGAAGACAGCTACTCAAAACTTTAGAGAAGATTGATTGTTTTTCATTTAAGATGTCTACAGTGTTTGCACAGAATTATGAAAAGCAAGGAGAACTTTGGGAGAACTCGATCAGTGATGACCAGAGTCAAAGGCTTCCACCTGCTCCAAAGTTCTCACAAACGTCTCCGAGGTTTGCATAAGCCTGTGTAAACACAAAAAACATCTTTTACTTCTTTTATAAAACAACGATAATGCAAAACAGGCAAATTTAAAAAAAATGTTTTAATTTTTCCTCTAACATCTATTCATGATTGATTTGGAAATTCTCTTTGATTGATTTTAATTGAATGACCTCAGATAGGTTCGCTCATTGCAAGTTAGCTAATATTAACTCAACTATAGACAAATCAACCCACGCATTTTTCTGTCTTTATTTTATAAACAAAAATGGATACTTTTACCTTTGGAAATCATGTTCCTCTTCGTCATCTTTCCAAAATGGCTGTGACATTAATATTGATTCTTTATCTTCATTAATATCTTCATCATGTTCGTTATCACTACCCTCTCAATAAACAATAAAATAAAAAAGATTGATTGAAAAACTTCATATAAGACAAATTTTACTAAACACAAATGGAACTGTACACAATCACCATTGATATCCATGTGTAACTATGGCAGTGTGTGAATTAACGGTGTGCAATGTGCAATTTGCACGTCGTTTTAGCTAAAATGAAAACAATTGCACATCACTTTTTCAAACGATATGCTAAAAACTTCTTTAGTGATTACTACTACATAAATTGAAGTAAGTTTTCAAGCTTAATCTTTACTGATCTTTACTTTATAAACAAGTGCGCTGCACGACATTAAAATCCATGTTGACACAATGTCATCAAATTCAAAGACGTTGTCACTGAGACTGGGAAGTCTGTCAACAGTCAACATACATGGTGCTTATATGCTTATGACAATAGGGGTGTAATACATTATTAATGTCAATTTTTGCATTTGCGTTGTTTTGTAAACCATTACATACTGTTTTTGGCATCATAGCTATTTTGAGTATTTTCAGTAAAATCAGGAAACTTTTTGATTTTGATTCTTAAAAGCAGACAAAAAAAAACTTAATAAGCCAAATTTGAAAAATAAACCAAAGGGAATTTCGATTTTAAATAAGCCTAACGTGAGAAAAAGAAACGAAATTTGGCTCAAATTATTAAGCCAAACTGGCAACCTTGAACAAATATGATGTTTTTTATCGTAAGTAAACATCAAGGATGTTACTGTTAATAATCAGAAAGCAAAAGTATATTCGGTTATTCTCTTTTCACTTTTGCACAAAAAAGACGAGAGAATAACATCCGCAAAAAATTTCTCTCATACATTAGTAACAGGACAGCGATTGTAACGAAAAACACTGTCGTAAATCATATGAATTTGTGCACGTTTAAAAATATTAATTTAGCAATTAGCGCTTTACAATAATTAACGTAGTATCGATTTCATTATGCCTCTAAAGAAAAATTTTTGTCAAAAAAAATTGCACATCGTTTTTTCTCAACTAATTCGCACACTGAATACGATCTAACGACAAAAAAAGTTAAATTTTTACCTACGTATTGTTAACTGTTAAGTAAAAGAAAATTAATAAAGGAGCAGTTGTGCACATCTTCATGTAATGATGAAAATGTTTAAACTTAAGAAAACATGAAATTTTATGCACTAAAAAACAGCTGCATTTTGTGATATATAAGTCAGAGCCTCATAAATCATAAATACCATGACAATATAAAATACATGAAATGTATTGTGAGTTATACAATGTATTTTTGTCCTTACCTTGTAAAATAGGAAGAAAAACTTGTGAAGATAGTCCAATATCTCGTCTTCGTTGTCTTTCATCTTCCCACATAGCAGTTATACCAGGATTATGACCAATACAACCTTCATAAACATAACAAACTCATTAAAGATGTATAAACAGTAAAATGAAGACATAAAGATAAGTAAATTTTACTTTCAACATTTATTTGATTAAAGATGTCTTCAGCAATTACATCAACTTCAAGTTCACAATGACTGAGTTTTTTCCCAGTAGGATCCAGGCATAAATTTCTTAATAATGACAATAAAAAACATTAAATTGTTGAAAGTTCATTGCAAAGATAGTTATCACAAAGAATCAATTAAAAGTTAAACTAACTTTTTAATGTACTAAATTCTGTAGTCTGGACACAGCATTGTGTCTAAATCTTGGGAATAAATCATACATTAGGATTAAGGATTTACACAAATCCTTTGGGTTTAAATTAATTATCAAGTATAAGATATATGAATAAGACAAACCTAGGAATAGTGTCTTCATTCCAGTGTTGAGATGAAGGAAAATTGAGAAATGAATTTCGAGTTGAACCATGAAGTGGAAATGATTTATTATTACAGTACCGATCTCGAGTAACATGACTTGACTCGCGAGTATCGAATGGCGAGTGACTCGCGATGCAATTGCGAGTCACTCTCCAGTGTGAGAAGTTTGCGAGTGAATAAAATAACTCGCAAAAATTTCTTCCTCCAGTATTTGAAATTGACAAACATAATCTTAAGTGTAGTGGCAAGTAAAATTTGTTCAACTATTTGAAGGCGAAGGTTTTACATCTTTTTATGAAACATGGGAGCAAAACGACTATTCATTTGAAGCAATATCTCAGGACCTAATAACTAAGGCCATAAACATTTGACAGCAAAAACGATATAAAACCACGACGTGTATAGTAAAACCACGTGTATAGTAAAACCACGTGTATAGTAAAACCACGTGTATAGTAAAACCACGTGTATAGTAAAACCACGTGTATAGTAAAACCACGTGTATAGTAAGGCCTTTATATCAATAGCGACTACATCCAAAACTCCAGGTCAACGAAGTTCTTTCAGAATCGAATTCAAAAGATTATACGTACACTCAGATATTTGGCATTAAAGATTATTCGTTTTTTGAATGCATTTTTTCCTAAGATTATATATGTCCATAATCTAAGACTGTTAGAAGAAAATGTGTGAGCGCTATTACCATTTATTCATTGATTGCGTGCCATTTACTTTACATTTCTCTATAGTCTCTACCGCTTTACGAATAACGTTTGTGCCATGAAAAATGTGAAGCTATTAAAATGCTTTTGTAAAAAAATTCAAAAGATTTTAACGTCATTAGGTCCCGAGATATTGCTTCAAATGAATAGTCGTTTTGCTCCCATGTTTCATAAAAGATATAAAACGGTTGCCTTCAAATAGTTGAACAAATTTTACTCGTCACTACACTTTTGTTTGTCAATTTCAAATACTGGAGGAAGAAATTTTGCGAGTTATTTTATTCACTTGCAAACAGCGAGTCACTTATTCACTCGCAAACTTCTCACACTCGAGAGTGACTCGCAACTGCATCGCAAATCACTCGCCCACTCGCCATTCGATACTCGCGAGTCAAGTCATCTTACTCGAGGTCGGTACTATATATGTTCAAACAAAGAAAGAAAAACTAGCTATACCTAAAGTAATCTTCGTTTTCTTTCCATAATGTAAAAGAGCATCAATGAGTACATCAATTCTGTGACTTGGACGCATTTCTTTAGTCATTCTGCTAAATTTGCGAATGTAAGCTCACAATCTCTCCAACATCTCACCGTCAGTTAGGCCAAATCCTTCTTTACGACGGGGACTAAATTTAACCTTTTAAAAGAAAGATTTAGTAAACAATTATTGAATTTTTATCCTTTTATCATCTACAAATACCATTAGTTATGATAGCATAGGTATCACCATCTGTTAATACGTATGAAAAATAAAAACAATAACAACTAACTTGGCATCGTCCAACATGCCCATAGCAGTGAAAAATTGGAGTTGAATATTAAAAAATGTCAACAATCGGATCCTCCAAATTCTTTTTGTAAAAAACAAAATAGAGAAAAACATGTGAAAGACTACCTTTTCAAAGAAAAAAAGTGTTGAAGGAAAGTTATTGACTAAGGAAACAGGTAACAAAGCAACTATTGTCAATTGAATATTACCTGTAAGTGTTTCACCAACATGCATGCAACATCATACAATATGTTTATTTTGAGTGCAGGATTATCAACATTATCTCTCTAATTCTTGGAGAATATAAACTGCATAGCTCAATCTTTAAAATATGTAGAATATTTTTTTAAATAATGCAACCACATGTATGCAAAAAGCTTCAGCACTTGCATAAAGCATTGAAAGTAGCAAACCAACTGAAAAAAATAAATTTACACCATCAAATGCATGCATCCTAACCAACTCTTTCAAACCAAGAACATTTTGGTAAAAATAGAGAAAAATGTGTGCAACAGACCTCTCTCCATTCTTCAAATTTAAGAATTTTTTAGAAAACTCATGTCGACAGCTGCGCCCAAAGATTGCTGTTTCATCAAGAGCTCTGTAGCGAATCATTGATCGAACAGCATTCCCAGCAAGAAAACCATGACACTCCTAAAAGTATCAATATGTAACAAACAAAAAAGTATACAAGAGCTTTATTTCCTAAAGCCCATGGCACAAATTAATTGAAAATAAAAACTATGTGGTAGAGAATGTAAAAAAATCAAATATATTCAAAGCATTGTAACTTCCATGCCTGAATTTTCATTAGAATAACAAAGTATATTAAAGCTACATTGACCTTGTTTGATGTAGATGTGGTATAATTGGCAACAAATTGATCAACATGTGTCTGATCATAGAACATCAGCCGTCCAAATAGAGGTTTTCCATAACTCTGCCCAGCTTTTTCCTTCGTGCAATAAATAAAGCATCAAGAGACTCAAAGATCACAACATCAGTCTTCAATAAAATGGTGAAGGATAAAATCATGCAATGTATTTGAGTTCAATGATGCAAATGGTGCAGTCAAAAAGGTGTTTGAGATAGCATTGCTAATGTTCTTTTTACTAAATTGTCATTGTTAAACAAATAATATGAATATACTCACTTTGGGACAAGTAGGACAGATATTTCCTTCATCAAGCTCAGGAATAACACAGCTCAACATGTTAACTTTATGTTTCTAAATTCTGAAAAAAGCAATGACACAAGGAAAGCAATTATGCACTCTTAAACAAAGGACATAAACAAAATACAGTGCAAGAGAGTAATAATTAAGGAAAAATCCTTTCCCATCATAAACTTTAGCATTTTGACTTTCTCCAATTAAATACATCTCTTAAGATGAGATTCTTAGGCTATAAAATTGACTGCAACTTTCCCAGCAATTGATACTTGGTACAGCAGTGCAATAAATCAGTGACCTACATGCAGTTACATTTTTGGTGTTGCATAAGAGAATATGTAGTTATCATTAAACTCTTCAAATGACTGACAAATGCTTTTTATTGATGCCTTGCATTCCATCTGCACAGAATGAATCAATTCAAAAAACTCAATTGCAAATGCAATTCTTGGTTTTGTAGGTGTTCCACCCCAAAGGCCAAATTTCAGAAGTTGAACAAACTCTGGAGAGCATGAGCAAAACTGTACCTCAACAGTACAAAATGTGCTTAAAAATTGAAAAAGATCCAAAATTATAATTGTGTTGAACCATCCCAGCTAAAATGAAAAAACTTTTGCGGAACATTGCACATATTTTTACATACCTTTGACATCAACAACAGAAACACTTCTTTTGTGACGAGCTGTTTGGCATGAACAATCATACACCAGCATGTTCATGAGTTTATATGGCCAAAACATGCAATCCTACAAAGCCATGAATAACCTCGTAGAAATTAGTTGTAATCAATCCCCATTCTTGCATTCATAAAAAATATTAGATTAGTGCTTTGTAGCATGTTTCACAATGTACAGTTCTCACAATACTTTGCCATTGGACCACAATCACTGCACCTAAACTTTGCTTCATTATCACAATGAATACACTTCAGATTGCTCCAATTTTGCCAGCAAACTGAAATGTATTCTTTATAATTGAATGTCACAAATTTTCCCATGCTTTTTGTTTTCTTTCAACTTTCTGGTAATAAGAAGATGATTCTTCACAATCATGGTGAACATCACTTTCAAGATCACTGTTATCTTGTTCCATTCCCAGTTCATGGCCTTCCAATGCACCACAATTATCACAGACCTGCCAACCCCAAGGAATACAAAACCTTGAGATTAATGCAGAAAAACCGGGAGATCTGGCAAAAAAACTGGAGATTTCTATTCTTGTATACGACATATTTTTAGATTGATTTATTAGGCAAATGGCAATGATTACCTCAAGTGTTATGCACAAAAATTTTAACTGGCAGCCAATTTGTGTTACATAATTATACGAAAAAACAAAAATCAATGTCATGCCCAGTTCACGGCGCACTGCGGCTACAATACGTTATGTTTTGAATGCTATTCATCGAGTATTTCTTTCCATGCGATGAATAAAAATGCCAACAAACTTCTAAAATCCTAAGGTTTAAAAAAACCGGGAGATTTAGTATCTTTGTCGGGAGGTCGGGAAAAATGCAGCAAAAGCGGGAGTCTCCCGGCGAAACCGGGAGAGTTGGCAGGTCTGTTATCAGGACTGTTAAAAGAACAGCTTCCTCTATGATCCTCAGTCACAAATTCTGACAAATCCACCTCCTCTCTCAACATGGCCATCCTTATCATGATATGTGACAGCTACAGTTGCTTTAAACCTTTTATTGCTCCTACAAAAATTATCATAAAAATCTATAAAATGAAAATAAATGTTGAAAAGTCTAACAGCTATAAGGCCGTTATTTGGTGTACCTTGGCATCTTTTAAAATTACCAGAAAGAAAATCACAAATCAGATAATTTTATCGATATTACCAATGACACAATAACATAAGTAAAACGACCAAAGTACAACGTATGTATCTTCCACGACTACCAGCCGACGTTTTGTACCCGTACTTTACCGGCTTTTAGCCACATCTCATAAGACGAACGGGTGATTTGTTTGATGTTTGTAACATGTTTGTAAATGTAGATCTTCCAGGTTGGTATAGTCCTGAGAAGGACTGTTTTTGTTGTTGTTGACTGACGTTTCGACAACCTTAGCGGTAGTCATCTTCAGAGTGATTTGCTTGTTGGTAGAACGAAAGGGTTTTTGTTCCGGTATATTGTAGGAGCCTTTTTCCTAGGGTAGGGGTAACATATCTCACGTGACCGGAAACGTAAATCATTTAAATTAATTCCACAAACTCGACTAGAACGCCGCGCAGATATCATGTAGTTCGTTGTGTCTTGAAATCTTTCTGACTTTGTGAAGGTATGTTGATTTTTAACTTTACCCGTCGTTGTTATATTGTATTTTGATTTTGTGATTTAATGCTTCATGTCCATTTATCGATTATTTTGTTTTTCTGTAAAATATACTACTTCCGCGTTATGTACACGTATGCAAATGTTTTATAAAGATAAATTTGTTGATTTTGGTGAGATTTTGGAACTAGCTCAAATCAAAATATATCTTATAAAACATATAAGATATATTATTATATCTTTATAGAATAATAAAAAGAAATAAATTTCTACTATATAATAGTAATGTTCTACATCGATACACATCATGTGCAAGGTCACGAGGCAGTAGAGGAAATAAGATATTCATGGATAATTTCGTAAAAGCGCTATTGCTAATGCGCATTTAATAAACAGGCATTCTGGAATTCCGCGGAAAAAAAACGAGAATTCCGTGGAATTTTTGAAATCAGTTCCGCGGCTATAAATCCAAATTCCGCGACCAAAATAACAAATTCTGCGGGATATAATAAAACAAACAAAACTATTCTTTATCAAATTGCTAGTGTGTAAAACTGGTCTATTTTTAAACAGTGCCATGTGGTAAAATTTACATTACTTATACGTAACTATGTTTAACCGTAACAAGCACCAAAAGTTGTAAATGAAGCACTAAAAGTGATAATGTCCCCTACTGTCTGTAACAGGGCATTTTAAAATTTCTACAATATCAACAATATTAATCCAGCACTCGTCGTCGATTTCCGGCCAAATAAAATAGAATGCGTTGCCAGAAGCCTTTACCTCCTTCAAAAAACGAACCTCGATTTCTTCTAGTTCTTGGTCTATATTCAGTATAATCCCACAGAATATCTTTGAACCGCTAGCTCTTGATGATGTAAACCTTACACGAACATACATTCCGATTGTAATATTGGAAAGTTTAATTGGCCCAATGCCCTGTTCATCTCTGCTTGCACCAGACGAAATTTCCTTTATTTTGTCCATACTAGTGCTCTTATGTTCACTTCTTTTCTCTTTGCTGGTACCTACATTGAGATTCTTCAACTTTCTCTTGTTGCTGATTTTTTGTTTTGACTTATTCTGAATACCACTTCCGGCATCGCAAAGTTTACAGTTATGAAGTACACTACTTGATGTTTCCTGAATGGAACAACAGGATGGAAAGGTGCAAATAACTCTTCTGCATTCACTGCATTGGTGTCCATATGAGACTTCTTTCTGACAAAGATAACAATATTTCAATTCATCACTTGACTTCTGTTTTAGTGCGTTTTTAAGAGACATGCGTTTTGTTGCACCGCTGGAACTAGAAGCAATGGAATGGGGTGTATCTTTCTTTTGAGAACTGACTGACTTAATCTGCAAACTTTCATTGCCGGAACTGGAAGCAATGTTATGGGCGGTACCTTTGTCTTGATAACTATTGGGGCTTGTCGATTTTGTTGCAAGGTGCCGAGAAACTTTCTTGACATGTCTTTGTTGAGGACTTTCATTTTCCTCTTTAATGGAAATTTTCACCCTCAAATTCCAGTTAAGGAAATGTAATGCTTTGAGAGTTTGCTCATTTAAATTCCTTCTCTTCTGATCAAGAATGGAATTATATGTGCTGAATGTCCTTTCAACATCGTATGATCCCAATGTTCCAGTGCAATAGTGGGAGGCAAGCTTGTAAAGTTCTGGAAGTTCTTCTGCATGGGATTTCCAAAACAGCTTCAGGTCTACCTTACCTTGTGGACTTTCTGATACAGCAGCAGGTCCGAATATATCAACATACTTATGCCATTCTTCATCGGAGACACTTTCTTCGAATCTAGGAATATTGGTGTATGAACT